GGGATCCGCTGAAGCATTGATAAATCGTAAAGGTTTGATATGTATGGCTTATTTGGGCCTTTGTGGTTATCTGCCAGTACTGTGCAAATAGGACTGAAAGACTACACTGCTTTTAGTGGGTGCAGAAGAGATCGGTTTCCTAGGCTTTCACAGAGCCTTTGCAACAGTCATATGGAAAACTGAAAGGAGCCCTCATCCAGAGAGAGGTTAGGATACAGGACAAATGAGTTGTCTGTTGTCACGCAGTTGCAAACTCTCCTGGAACCTCGGACACGTGCCTTCTTTCCTGACTCCTGCATATTAGCGTATGCTCAACTAATATGCTCCAGTTTGGAGACAGAGCAATGGTTTGTGAATCTGCCTTCCTTATTCCTCTGACTTCTTGCCCCTAAACAGGAAAGAAACACAAAACTGCAGAGCTGTAGTTTGGAATTGTAAGGCTTGTTACTGGGAACTGTTGACAATATACAGTGTCTAAGGTTTATTCCAAGTTTTTTTCTCCTTTTTGAGGTAAACAGTGACCTAGACTTTTCTCTTGTAGCTGCAGGACAATAACAGACTTTTAAAATAGCTACTACTGAGAACCATGTGAGACTCCATGGATCCATCTCATGATCTGTACTGTCTCTGTGCAAGGTAAGCATACCTGTAGACTCACATGTGATGGCTCGCTAATTTTTAATCTTATCCTATATGTTAGTTTTCTACCAAGCTCAAATAGCTGCATCAAGGTGTTTGTATCAACCCACAGTTAAATCCACGACATGCAATAGATGAATAAGTAATTTTTAAAGCATGCTTGGATTTCTTTTGTTAACGTGGTCTATTTCAATTTAAGGGTAGAAGCCCCTGAACGTGGCTTACCTTTGACATTCAAAGAGGCTTCTTTCCTGAGAAAAGTCTAAAACTTGTGACTTCTTGTGTTGTACAGTTTGCCACACGGTGGCCTTATTCCCACACTCTCTCTTATGTTGATAAGCAATGTCTTGATACTGTCTTGATGGTCAGGCCCAGTAACATTTGGAAGCAGACTGATATGTATCAGCTTTTGCTTTGTTGACCTGGTTTTCCTTTCATATGCAATTCACATCTTAAAGGTGGTGGTGAGGAGAAGGGTACCTTCAGGGTACTGCAGGTAACTGACCGCTGGTGCTGGCTCCTCACACACAGACAAAGCATTCTGATCTTCCCTTTATGTGTTCCAGCTTCCCACTCCCTGCAGGGAGCAGAAAGGTGGTTTGGCATGCATTTACCTGTTTTGTTGAGGGATGGGAAACAAAGATGAGGAGACATGTGGTTGCAGACTCTCTACTTTCTCCCCTTGCAAACTTGGAGAAGCCTTGTCAGGGTAGGACGCGCAGATTCACACTAGGATCAGTCATGCAGGAAATAACGTGTAGGGCAGGTGGGTGGGAGGGGTGGTGGTATATAAAGGCTTGTCTGAAATGCGGGGCTGGAAAGGTCAGAGGAGGACTTAGAAACAAGCACAGTCAGATGAGCTTTTGCTCAGAGACAGGACAGAATGGCAATTAGACCCTGGGGTTGCTATGATCATCTCCTGTCCAGCTTCTTCCTTCTGGAGATGGTGATTGGCCAGACTGGCCAGGGCTACCAGGAGGTTGTTGAAGAGATCCAGTGATGTGGTGAGGCTGTAGATGGGCTGGTGTCTATGTGTGGGAAGGTGTGGATACCAAAAGCAGAGATATGGGCAGCCTGTAACAAGTAAGTTACAGTAACTGCAATGTAGACTTATCCTACTTATATGTCCCAGTAAACTGGGAATAATGTTAACCTCTTCTCTGAGCAGGAAGACATCCCAGGAGGTCGGTCTGAATCAGATTTCTAGCTCCCCTTGCACCTCCACGGTATAGATCTAAGGATTAACACTTGGTGGCTGGGGCTGCCATGTTCCCTGACTGTGTATCAAAACTCCCGTTTTCCCCACTACAAGAGAAAGGGTTTTCCTTCTGAGGTACCTGAAGGCGATGGCCTCACTTCCAGGCTGAAGTCAGTAAATGAGTGTGGGAAAGGGAAAGAAGGCAAACGCAGTTACGTAGGCTAGATGTTCATTTATATGCATGTACTATACGAGTCGGTACAGCACAGTATGCAGACTCATCCTTATGTTAAGCAGTGCTGTTTGCTCACCTGTGTATGAGGTGCATTTGCTACCACTGTCTTCGTGATAAATTGGAAAAGACGTGAACTCAGAAGGTGCACTTTTCCTGCAGGGCCACTGAGTGTCACCAACGCTCCGTGACTTGCTCTGCAAGATGCCGTTTCTCCAGCAAAACTCCTTTGTTAAAATGGGTTGGAATGGAGAAAAATGTCGTTGGAATGGAGAAAAATGTCATTGGAATGAAAATGGGCTGCTTCTTGCTAAGAGGCCTAGAGCTGAGAGGATCTGCACCTAAAAATGTGAGCAAGCGATGTTAACTATGAAACGAATCCTGGCTTATATTTAGGCATAGCGCTTGACAGGTTTCCAGCCTGACCCTCTAAGCCAGTCTCACAAATTGTAGCAGTGACAACAATTATGGGATGGAAAAAGTGCTTCATCAGGAGACACTAAAAAGGCCGGGATCCCACCATTTGGTGAGCAGAATGAGCAGAATTTGGTAAGCAGATGAGGGATTGAGATTTACAAAAATAATGTGGATAAAGTGAATGGAAAACTGTTCTTCAGCGAATCTTTCCATGGCAGTCTGGGGGCATGTGATAAAACTAGTTGGTAATCAATTTAAAAGAAAAAAAAACGTGCTTTACACTACAGGAACCTACTGCTACAGGAGTTATGGGAGCCAGTAACATCAGCAGGTTCAAAAAGCTCATAGACAAACTGATGGAAAACCAGTCTATACCAAAGGGAATAGGTTGCAATGTATCCTCCACCATCCCTACTACCATGCTCAGATGTGGGAGTAGCACAAGGGGAATGGACTGTAGATATTGGCCAGGTGCACCTGCTCTCCCTGGAAAGTATTAAGGGCAGCTGAATCTGGTGGACTGAAAGATCCAGAGGCTTCCTTCCTTCTTGGGCCCATGGAGGCGAGCGGGAGCTTCTTACTTCTGTTTCACATCCCACCAGTAGCAGGGTGGTGTGCAAGCTCACAACGGACACGCGCACACAGGTTAACACTGATGGGAGACGGTACTTCAAAGACGCCCATATGAAGACAGACAATGTCAGTAGCCTGACCCTGTTCCTAAGGACCAGCGCTCAGAGAAATGCACCTTCATAGGTCTCTTGGGTTTTTGGCCCCCGAGACCTTTCATCCTACTTGCTGGCTGGGCAGACCTAAGTTTGTTATTGGATCACACACACATGCACACAGCAGAGAGCACAATCACACAGGAAATAATTCAAATAATTTATTATGAATATAGTATAGACAGTGGTGATCAGGGGCAAAACTTGTCCAGGCAAACATACTGATTGCATTTGACCAGCTTAGTTTATCCCTCTCTTCTCTCCCTTTTCCCACGCTTGTTCGTCTCTGATCCACCTTGATCCCTCCATTTCCCTGCCTATGATTCCTACCCCAAACATACCAGTGCAGTCTTCTAAATCCTCGACTTCTCCTTATCGATTCCAACATTCCTCCCCCCCGAAGCACCCCCTAGCCCTAAAGCCTCTGTACTGCAGTAGTTCCCCCTAGTAGTATTGCAGCAGTTCCCCTTCGTTTGCATGGATTCCAGAGAGTTTCCTCCCTTGAATCGACTTCAGTGGGTTTTGCAACAGGGACAAATGGCTTAGTCGTTCATCCAGTCGTTGAGGCTTTTAGGAGTGGTTGATTCACAGGGATTACGGTGGCTGGGTTCCCCGCCTTGTCATTGTTCCTTTGATCACTATCTGACCTTTTATTTTGAGTAGCCTTAAATATCTCCTATAGCTTTTTTTTAAGAGAATGGCCAGACAGTTTTCCATCTGAATTAAAAAAGAACCCCCAGCATTTAGAGCAGGTGTGTTTGGTGACAGCCCAAACGCCCTCCTGTCCAGCGCATTTTGCTGCTTTTCAGGCAGCAGCAAATGCTATTCTGTGATTCTAAGTCAATGGGACTGGATCTCCTGAGTCACCATCCCTGGAGGTATTTAAAAGACGTGTAGATGAGGCGCTTAGGGACATGGTTTAGTGGGCATGGTGGTGTTGGGTTGATGGTTGGACTCGATGATCTTAGAGGTCTTTTCCAACCTTAATGTTTCTATGATTCTATGATTCCTGTGAATTGATAGTCCAGCACTTTCATTACTGAGCCAGATGCAACGTTCTTGCCACAAAGCTCAAAATGTCATTTGCAGGAGCATTTATGATGCTCATAGCCTCAGCAGTGCCTGAGCTTCTGCACCTTGTACATGTAGACAGAGCGTGATTCCTTTCTGCTTGTCTTTTGCTTCTTCCCACCCGTCCTTGGTGCGTGAGCCGTCTGCCTTAAAGGAAACTCACCAGCTCTCATCGAGATGAGCCACTGATCTGACCCGATAGGGCATTTCTCATTTTCTTAGAAACGCTCATGCTGACTACAACACTATTGTTAAAAATGTAACTTTACCCTAACCGACCACTTTTACCCTAAGCCAGGCAACTGACAGAAGAACTGATGCTCTTCGAGAGCAATCAAGGGAAGCAAGGCCCAAGTGCCTGCACAGCGCAGCTTCTCTTCTAAAAGTTGCCAGCAAGCTCTGGCACCGTGGTTTCTTTACCCTGTTTAGGCAGGTTTCCACCGTGCACCTCTACATGTGCTGACAGAAAACCTCCCTGGCACCGTTATTACCGCTGTGTCCTGTTTGTTCATCGAAGCTTGTTCCAGGTACCAAGACAAACATTTTACAACCTACATAAACCTACTAATGTTTAACAAGGTTAACCGCGCTCCAGAAGGACCGATCGCAAAGCACGGAAGACATCTGCCCTGAATGGCGGAGGGCACTCTGCGCCTGCTGCACAGCTAGGCTGCGAGGCTTATCACCATCTTGACGCCTTGGTCCCCTTCCCCTGCAGGCCCGGCAGGAGGCCGCGACCGAGGTACCGAGCCCCGCTCCCCGGCAGGGCCGGGCGGCTGAGC